GTTTCGAGGGTATTTTGGTCAGTTTGTTTTCGCGAATAATATTTTCTATATTTTTATTAGGTGCTTCTTGATGAGAAGAATACACGTCTAAAATTTCAAGTGATTTGGATTTGTAGAACAAAAATTTAAATTCTGTAGAACGAAATGAGGTCGTGACCGTCAGATTGGCCCAGATTCAATCTTGGCCGTTGGGCTCACAGGTTCTGTGCTTAAGAGCAAGTCAAAATGCACATATCATTATACTGCAAGGGGGCTCTCTTTATGCATAAGTACACGTGTTCCTGTAAATAGGGTTGCTTCCAAAAAATGAGGCTGTAATATGTACATGCCATGGTAGTTTTATTGAGGACTTGGCCCTTACTCTCACAAGCCTATATCTACACATAGGAGACCACACTACTCTCTCAGGCTACAAACAATGTCCTAGAGTATCTCTCCAACTTCAACAAGGCATGACCGCTTATAAACCCTCAACGGTAGTACCACATGCCCAGGGGTAAGGGCTTTGGACATGACCTGGGCCCTAGAGTGGACAACCTTAGGTTAGTCATCCACAATACGTTCCCACTGAAGTGTACAATCACTTTAATTTATTATATTTACATGCTCTTACAAACCCCAACAAATTCTATGAAATTTGGATATGAAGCTTAAGTGTCCTTTTTAAAACAATTCATCAAGTTTGGAACAAAAAGACACCATCTGCTCCACTTTTTTAATGTTCACCAGGAAGGCACTATTGACAAGTCCCGTAGCTCACAGCAACCATTTAGAACACCCTTCAAATCACTCTATTCATATGAAATTTCATATGCAAGTGTACAATGCGCTATTCGCAAATCATTCTGATATTCTAACTACTTTGATATTGCTAACACACCCAAACAGATGCCCCTCTCAAAGCTTGCATGTGCGACATACCGCTAAGTGTGACATTCAACTTATTTTGGGTTATTGGGGGAGATCCCTGAGTTATGATCAGATATAGACTTCTTATAGGAATTTTAAAAATGGGATCGATTTAGCGTACGTGCTCATATGTTTCATTGTAGGTTTGTTCGAAGACATCTACTTAAGTACACATGAATAAAGCCCAATCTTTCCCAAAAGCCTCAACATGCATATATGCCTATAACCCTCCTCTGATACCGACTTAAAAGTGGCTCTGTATGACAATATGTATTATTAGAACATCATTCCTATGAAACTTGAACCCCATTCACAATATTAACTTGCAATATGCTTCAGAGTGATTATATGATGATCCAGCATCACAGTATGCTCGTATAACCAAAGTCTCCATGTTTGTATAATCCTTTGAGTAACTTAGTGCGCATCATGCAGCTTTAACTTCTAAGGAGGAGTCATCATATATCATTTATTGAAATTCTCCATTCTGGGTATAGGCTACAATAGGATTCAGTATAGTCACATGCGTGTGACTAGAGCCTCACATAACTTTTCAGATTTGTTTCTTCGTATGAGAAGTTCTCTCTTTTTAGGTAGGCATAAGCTTAACTAATCATGCTCCTCATCAGCTCACAAGAAAACCATGGTGAAGACCAATCTCCTTGTATTGCCAATATCTGCATAAAAGAAGAGGGGGCATCATGTGATTTAATGTCATGTGATAAGGACAAA